AAGTCTTGGAAGGCACCTTTTTCTGCCCGAAACATACTTGGTGCCTCATCCGTCCTCACCACCCTCGACGGTGGGGCGGCCCAAGGGTATGTGGACATCCCCCCCGGTCGAGCGCGCTATTTCCATGCAGCTCTGTCCGCAAAGCGCTGCCGCCTGGAGGGGTAGTCCGCGCCTTACGTCCAGGGCCTGTAAGTTCTCGTCCGCTCTGTGATGGCTAAGGCTTACAGTGCCTGCACGCCATGGCCGTCCTGCAAGTCCACCAGGCCAAGGCGTAGAAGCAGTTGCATGAGGGTGGTGCTGACCCAGGTGTGCTGCAGGAACTGCGCACTGCGACGGACCTCGCGCTTAGGGCGACGAAAGTCACAGCGCGGGCCCTGGGTCAGACGATGTCCACATTGGTGGTCAAGGAGCGCCACCTATGGCTGACCTTGGCGGATATGAGGGAGGCCGACAAGCATCGCTTCCTGGACACCCCGATCTCTGTCACGCCGCTCAGGTTGCTTCATATGAGACCGCTGCAGCGTTGGCTTCACGACCGGGTCCCGAGATGGTCATGGCAACACGGCACATACCGGGTTTCAGTCACCCCGTTCTGCCATCAGACCCATCCTGCCCCGGCGGTCTGCGGCTGTCGCCCCACCGCCGGCTGCAGCCCCTCGTCGCTTAGGGTGCCCTCCTGCGGCCTCCGGAGTTCTTGGATCCTGCTCTTCAGGAGATGGTGACCGCACCACTCCTTCCCCCGGAGGAGGGCCGGGGGACGAGGAGCAGGTCCTCTTGGTAGCACCATACTGGCCCGGTCGGACTTGGTTCCCTGAACTAATGCTCCTCGCGACAGCCCCTGATTGGCAAATTCCTCTGAGGAGGGATCTCCTTTCTCAGAGAGGGGGCACCCTCTGGCACCCACGTCCAGACTTGTGGAAGCTCCACTTGTGGTCCCTGGACGGGACACGGAGGTTCTAGGTGGGCTACCTCCAGCGGTAGTAAACACCATCACATCAGCTAGAGGGGCTATGCCTAACACGTTTGTGAGATTCTATAATCTCCGTGTAGAGCCCGTGTCATCTCGTGTACTTGCCTCAGGTAGGCAGTAACACTGTACCTGCTCGGTGTCGATCACGCATGCTGCGCCATTCCCATCTAAGGACCGGATACGTGCACTTTTCTGCTTCTCAGTTGAGTTCCCCATGGCGAACCCTGTTGGAGTTCCTCCCGCACCCTCGGCGGTCAGGCGTAGCGGAGCGCCAGACTCCAGGCTCAGCACTCGTGTGCATGCCCAAGGTCAGCCCTTGTGCTGGGCTAGGTGCCCGTGTGTAGTGATTCCCCCTTCGGGTGATCCCACATGTGTACTCTTCCACGGCCGTAGCGTCCCAGCTGGGTACGCTTTCCCAGTGTTATCCAGTGTACCACTGTATGGAACAGCAGTGGCGGTCACCTCTGCCTAGCCGCTGTCCTATCTTCCGCCCCAGCTGGTGTGGGGGGACTTGCCGGCTTCCGCAGGGCACTGGAGGGGGTCAGCAATAGTGGCATTTTTCATACAGATCCCAATTCGTCAGTCACGACTGACATAACTTAGAACGTGACTGACTGAAAGGGAACGTCTCGGTTACTTGTGTAACCCTCGTTCCCTGAAGTTACGTTCCATCGCCACAGTTGCTGTACCACTGCTGTACGGCCGGGGCGCGTAGTCTCGTCTCCGAAGCGAAAAAACTGATGTGCGTTTGCACGCGCTCTCCTTTTATACCCGCGCTGCGGGGCGGGGTGCGCGTGGCGAAACACGCACGCCAACTGTCATTGGCTTGTTTAGTTTACACTCGAAGGTGATTGGGCTCTCGGGCGAGATCCCAATTAGTCAGTCACGACTGACGTAACGTCTCCGTTCCCTCCTTCAGGGAACGAGGGTTACACAAGTAACCGAGACGATCTAATCTACATTTAAAAAAATATTTTCACTAAAAATAACCGTTTTCTATTTCTATAATGCATTTTAAAATGTAATTTATTCTTGAGATTGCAAAGCTGAATTTTCAACAGATGTTAGTCCAGGCTGCAGTGTCACGTGATCCTTCAGAAATCATTCTAATATGCTGATTTGGTGTTTATTTGAAATATTTTGTAACATTATAAATGTCACTTTTAATGAATTGAATGCATCCTTGCTGAATACAAATATTAATTTCTTTAAAAAACAACAACAACAACTTTGCTATTAGCTGTAGTGTACATTACATTTTTCAAAATCCTTAACCTTTCTTTATTTTGTCGTTTTAAAGGAAAAGTAATCCTCAATTTTCAATGTGGTCTCAGATTTCTTTTATGTGTATTTTTTGGGGTTTATCTTTATTTCAATCCCATGCTCCTTAAACTTACCCAAAATCTTAAAAATACTCACACCTTCCTGTTTTATATCATGTACCCTGATCTGTGAGGAATAATCACAGCAGTGCCTGCTTGTGTCTGTATGTTGCTCAATGTTGTGTTTGTCCTGTTTGCTGCACAGTCGATCCCTTAGACACACATTTTCTTCTTCCCTCTCTCCTTTAGAGCATTTGTGTATTTGAGTAATCTGCTCTATCCTGTGCCCTTGGTCCATCGGGTTGCCATAGTTAATGAGAAGGGAGAGGTCAAAGGTTTCCTCAGAGTAGCTATACAAGCAATATCAGGTAAGATTAGGACTGCAAGTGTCTTGCAGAACCTACTGGTGAGTAGAGGGACACATATTTCAATGTATAATTTGATTGTCTAGTATCAAAATGTTGAATCATTTTAAATGAATGGTGTTTTTAAAGATTAATTTCAAGTGTGATGATAGTAATAATGTAAATGTAAAATCAGGAGAAATTAGCATGCATTATTAAATATTCAATAAATAAAAAAATTAAAAAAACTTTAATATTGGTAGATGCATCTTTAGTTTAAGGGAACAGAATTTTATTTGGTGTTAGAGGATGTGTTTAGACCAGAGGGATATGTGTGTACAGTATGAAGGGCAAACTGTGTGTGACTTCGTGAGGAAGTGATGTGAAGGTGCTCTGGTTTTTCCTCCAGCCGATGAAGAGGCACCAGACTATGGCTCTGGCGTCCGGCAGTCAGGCACTGCCAAGATTTCTTTTGAAGACCAGCAGTTTGAGAAGGTATTACCATTTTAACACTTATAATGAAGCAGTTTCACAGAAAGGGTAGACCAAGCTGAAAAGACCAGTTTAAATTTCAGTGCTAGTCCAGGCTGCTTTTTACTGGCTTTAATGGTCTTTCTTGTCAAGCTGGTTGACCAGTATGATAGTAGCATTTTGAAGATGCTGAGACCCAGCATTCAGAACACAACACAGTTCCTATGGTCCTATAAAACTTGGAAACATCAGAGATTTTAAAAGTGTTATTTCCAGTAATTGAAATTAATGAAATATTAAAAAGTCTTGGAAATTTGTATAGCCAATATGAACTTTTTTAGTAATGCTAGTTCATTTTAGTGAATTTTCAATAAAAAAAATGTTTTCTCAAAATTATTCAATTATAGTAAAGTCATGGAAAAAGCATGTAAATTCATAGGTCAAAAGTGTGAGAACCATAACAACAACGTACACTTGTGACCAGCTATGCTGATCTTGTCTTACTTCAAGTGTTTCTCTTTCCTGTTGAGCAGTTCCAGTCAGAGTCCTGTCCTTCTGGTCTTTCACGTGCTGCTGTCTCTCAGGAAGAGCTGCGAATTGTGGAGGGTGAGGGCCAAAATGCAGAGATGGGACTGTCAGCAGATGAGGTCAACAATAATACCTGTGCATGTAAGAAACATTGAACATTCTGTGTTTGGAATTGTTTTTTTTAAATGTCTTTTATGCTCACCAAGGCTACAATTATTTGACCAAAATCAGTGTAATTTAGTAATTTAACTTCTTATTAAAAATAATTTCTTATCACACTTAAAAACATTTTTTCAGCTTAATATTTTTTTGGAGACCATGATAAATGTTTTTTTTTCCAGGATGAATAGAAACAACAGCATTTATTAAAAAAAAACTTTTGTAACATTATTCTCTTTACTGCCTCTTTTTATAAATTTAATAAATTTTTGCTGAATAAAAGTATTAATGGTAGTCTGTGTAAGTAAAAAACATAACCTTTATGTTTGTGTTATTGACGTCTGCATTTATATGCCAGCTCATATCGACTATCCCATGGAGTTTTCATATTTCTTTGACTTGACATCATTTCATTCATGTGCTTTTCATAGCTAACCCAGAGGAGCTGGACAGCCCTGTCAAAACTGGTCTTGATGGCATACTGGACGGCGCTCTGGATCACTTGAGGATTGGAGAAGTCTTTACATTCAGAGTTACTGTGCTGCAGGCATCAAGCATATCCGCAGAATACGCAGACATATTCTGCCAGTTCAAGTTAGTGCTTCTGTTCTGTTCTGAAGTCTGTTTCCTCTAGCGGACATTTGTCATTGTTATGTATCTAATTTACTTTCATTAAACTTCTCGTTTATAGTTTTATTCACAGGCACGATGAAGCGTTTTCCACAGAGCCGTTGAAGAACACTGGACGTGGTCCACCACTTGGCTTCTATCATGTGCAAAATGTGAGCTTTACACTAAAACACACAGTTCCATGTCACACTGATTTTATTAGACTGAGGGTAAAACACTTGTTTCTCTTACTTTCCAGATTGCTGTGGAAGTGACTAAGTCTTTTATAGAGTACATAAAGACTCAGCCAATCGTGTTTGAAGTGTTTGGACATTACCAGAAGCAGCCTTTCCCTCTGCTCTGCAAAGATCTCATTAGGTAGATCCGGGCTATATTTATTATTTCCAACTCTGATTAATACATGCTACAAATGTCTGGATTTATCCATCAAATATACTGAAATGACAACCAGATCTTTATTTTTTTCAGCCCGCTGCGCCCATGCAGACGACAGTTCCCAAGAGTCATGCCTCTTTCCAAACCAGGTGAGGGCAATGAATATTTATGGCCATATTTTATGACCATTAACATAGAAGCCCCTCCTTTTCACTTCATAGGCCATTGCATGTTTTTAAAAAATGCTATTTGTTCTCTAAATGGGACATCAGATGCTCATTTTCCACAAGTTGGTATGATTCTTCAGGGTCTTCATAAAAAGTAGGGATGCAACGATACCATTTTTTCAGAAGCGATCAATACCAAAAATTCTGAGTATCGGTCGATTCCGATCCGATCCGATGCCAGTGCATTTTTTTTCAAATCAATGTAGAATTTCTATACTTCTTTGTGTTCACCTGATCATCACTCTTGTGTGTGTTAAACACAATCTACTAAATCTACTGCATTCTTATCACTATTTGGTGGTTGTGTACACACTGCCAAGCCAACACACATTTATGTTCAAACACCATGTAAAAGTGAATTTTGCATCTGATGACCCCTTCAGTGTCTCCTGCCAAATTACATTGAGGCTGAAGCTGTTTAGCACATATTCTTGGCTTCGTCCTTTATGTTGCCTGTTTTATGTTGCTGTTTTGGGTCCATGTGCCCATGTCACAGTCTTTATGTTGTTGGTGGTGGGTGTAGCCGCAGATAATGACACCCCTCCTGATCGGGAGAAGAACTTGGAGCTGATTCGCTACCTGCTGCCAGAGGTCTTCAATGGGGCTCTGGTGGACTCGCTGTCAACCCACGCCCTCAGTGCAGCAGGCTTGGCTGTTTCCTACCTCCTTGAGGGGGAGGAGCAAGCCATTCTGCCGGCCCCGCCCTTGTCTATCTGTTCAGTAATAAAAGCACAGAAGCCGGGTCTGTAATGGTTCTGAGTGCCTAAGGCCAAAGGATGTCCCTGAAACTGAACCTCTGGTCTGTCTAATGCATATATAATATAATATAATATAATATAATATAATATAATATACACAATTTGGTGATTAAGAAACATTTCTTATTATCATGTGGGAAATGTTTGTGCTGCTATATATTTGTATGGAAACAGTGGTACTTTTTTCATAATTTTTTGATGAATAGAAAGTTCAAAAGCACAGCATTTATTTGAAATAGACATCTTTAGTAATATTATAAATGTCTTTATTGTCACATTTGATCAATTTACTGCGTCCTTGATATGTTTTTTTTGTCTTTTTTCTATACTTACCCGGAACTTTTGAATGGAAATGTTTCTCAGTTTTCATAAAAATATTAAGCAGCACAACTTTTTTTAACATTGAAAAGATATTATTTCTTGAACACCAAATCAGCATATTAGAATCATTTCTGAATGATCACGTTACACTGAAGACTGGAGTAATGGCTGCTGAAAATTCAGCTTTGTCGTCCCAAGAATAAATTACATTTTAAAATATATTAAAATAGAAAACAGTTACTTAAATTATAACAGTATTATCAAATAAATACAGCCTTGGGTAAGTATAAGAGACAATCTGGAAGAACTTAATTATTCCAAAGTTTTGACCATAATTGTAAATTATTCCAAAATATACTTTTTCTTGGAATGTCTTAAATAGAAAAATAGGTGATGTTTAGACAAAGTGTCCACTCATTTTCCCCATTTCACTGGGAGTCACACAAACTCTCTGCATTGACAGACTGAAGGACTCTTTGTTCCATGGACTGTGTTTCGGCCTGTTAATACTGTGTGTGGGTGTCTGTCTTTTTCTCTCCCTCAGCCTCTCCATACAAACCTCATCAAGCAGATGGACAATTCTAGCCTTTTTCTCTGACATCATTCCCCAGAAATAAACTGATGAATAGTACTGGAATAAGAATGTATCAGTGCATGAGTAAAACTGGTTGTTCTGTCACTTGAAACTGTGCTTGATGATGCAGTGGTCCCTAAACCTCTGTGTTATTCCTTTTGGGTCATTATAGGTTATTGGCTGTTATTTTTTATAACAGCCAATTTTATATATATTTTATTTATGTCTCTTGAACGGATCATATTCACTGGTTTGTCTTATATAAAGAGACAAAAATGAAAAAAGGGCTTATAAATATTATTCATAAGTATATTAGTTAAGTGTGAGTTAAAGGAATAGTTCATCCTCAATCGAATATTCTGTCATAATTTACTCACCTTCATAAAAAGTTTTGATAATTTTTTTTCCATATATCGTAAATTAATGTGGACTGGGACTGTCAGATGACTCCAAAAAAGCACATAAAACTTCTGAAGCTGCAGTATCTTGACATCTTGTTAATGCAAGCACATGAAAGAAGTAGAGAAGTTTGATTTCTTTCAATTAATTTTATATCTTGTGTCTAGTTGACAAAATCTGAAAGATTTGTTTATAAATCAAACAAATCTGGTTTTCTGTTTCAACTCACTTACTCAATATATAGCTATCATATGAATTCATAGAACTTATAATATAGCGCGTGCGTAATATGAATAACTTTCATGATACAGTATTACCTTTATGGTGCTTTTTTGTCATTTTGGTGTTTGACAGCCCTAGTCCTTGTTAATTTACATTACATGGAGAAAAAAAAGTGGCCAGAATATTCTTCAGAAATTCACTTTTTATGTTCCAACGAAGAAACTTTTTATTTGTGGTGAACTATTCTTTAATAATTCTGCTCGGCATGAGCAGACGTTCAGGGATCACTGACATTCACATGACTTTATTCATCTTAACAGCAGTGTGCCTTTACATCGGACCCCTGATCTCCCACTCCTGCTCCTCTCTAACTATGGTCTATTTCTCCTCTTATACTGTAATCCATATCTTCCTCTCTCCTGTGGAACTCTAGTATCCCTCTCATCTTCCATTAAATTATTATATCCTTTGGTCTATGATGAACTCAATATTGATTCAACTCTCTTTCTCGCTGTCTTTCTCTGTTTTCTGTGTAGTACCTGCCACTAAACTGACAGCTCTCACACGACCCACGGCAGGACCGTGCCACTGTAAATACGACCTGATGGTCTTCTTTGAAATCTGTGAGCTAGAGGCCAATGGAGAGTAAGTGTCTTGTATTACTGTGGACCTTTTCACTTTAAATGGTGACACTTTATTTCAATAGTCCACTTTAGACATTCTACTAACAGTAAGTAACTTTGCAACTACATGTCAACTAGCAGTCATTAAAGTATTAGTAGACTGTCTGCTTAATATCTGCTAACACTTTATTTTGATGGGTCCACAACATACAACATACTGACTATAAGAAACTTTGCAAGCATATGTCAACTTATTCTACTAACCCTAAACCTAAACTAACAGTCTACTCTGAGAGTTAGTAGACATGTAGTTAAGAATTAGTTGACATGTAGTTACAAAGTTACTTATAGTTAGTAGAATATCTAAAATGGACAATCAAAATAAAGTGCCGTCTGAATAGAATATATTGTAAAATCGATTACTGGGGCTTGTAAAGGTGATTGAATAAATTTGTCATATGGTACCTTATATGAAAACAGTTATATATAAGAAAGATCAGTTTTTTTACATACCATTTAATTTCTGCTAACACTTTATTTTGATGGGTCCACAACATACAACATACTGACTATAAGAAACTTTGCAAGCATATGTCAACTTATTCTACTAACCCTAAACCTATACTAACAGTCTACTCTGAGAGTTAGTAGACATGTAGTTAATAATTAGTTGACATGTAGTTACAAAGTTACTTATAGTTAGTAGAATATCTAAAATGGACAATCAAAATAAAGTGCCGTCTGAATAGAATATATTGTAAAATCGATCACTGGGGCTTGTAAAGGTGATTGAATAAATTTGTCATATGGTACCTTATATGAAAACAGTTATATATAAGAAAGATCAGTTTTTTTACATACCATTTAATTAATAATAAATAAATATCATATAATAGTTAATTTTTTTTTAAATATACATATTATTAAATAAATAATTATAATATTAAATCTATTGGTTTTGTAAATCCTTGTACATGTTGTGTACAGTTTCTATGTTCAGGAAACTGTGACAGTGCTGGTTATTGTACAGTATTTGACATGCATCTCTCCCTTCCAGCTATATCCCAGCCGTAGTGGACCACCGGGTAGGCATGCCATGCCATGGCACATTCATGTTACATCAGGTACTCTTTTTCCCCCCTCTTTTCTATCCATTTCCCTGTCCCTTGTCCCATACTGTTTTTTTGTTTTAACATTAGAGTACAAAATTATCACGTAATAACATAAAATAATAAGGTAACACTTTACTTGAAGGGGTGTGCATAAGACTGACATGACACCTTCATAATCATGACATGACACATGTCATGAATATGAAGGAGGTTTTATGCATGTTTATGACAACTGTCATTAAGTGTCATTTACTGGGGCTTGTAAAGGTGATTGAATAAATTTGTCATATGGTACCTTATATGAAAACAGTTATATATAAGAAAGATCAGTTTTTTTACATACCATTTAATTAATAATAAATAAATATCATATAATAGTTAATTTTTTTTTAAATATACATATTATTAAATAAATAATTATAATATTAAATCTATTGGTTTTGTAAATCCTTGTACATGTTGTGTACAGTTTCTATGTTCAGGAAACTGTGACAGTGCTGGTTATTGTACAGTATTTGACATGCATCTCTCCCTTCCAGCTATATCCCAGCCGTAGTGGACCACCGGGTAGGCATGCCATGCCATGGCACATTCATGTTACATCAGGTACTCTTTTTCCCCCCTCTTTTCTATCCATTTCCCTGTCCCTTGTCCCATACTGTTTTTTTGTTTTAACATTAGAGTACAAAATTATCACGTAATCAAGTGTCATTCGCTCAGTTATGTCATTTTTAATGCAAATATGACATTATTTGACCTAACCCTAACCTAACCCTACCCCTACCCTTACCCCTAACCATAGCCCATAACAAAGACATCTCAAACAATGTCATCTTTGCATTAAAAATTACATAACTGAGCGAATGACACTTAATGACAGTTGTCATAAACATGCATAAAACCTCCTTCATATTCATGACATGTGTCATGTCATGATTATGAAGGTGTCATGTCAGTCTTATGCACACCCCTTCAAGTAAAGTGTAACCAATAATTCAACATTTACATAATAGGGCATCCAAAGGAGAGTCACAGTCACCATAGTACATGAGTCAGGACGAGATATCGAGTGGAAGGAAGTGCGAGAGCTGGTTGTAGGTGAGTTTGGGCTCAAAATTAAAAGCTTATGCGCAAACCAGAGCGAAATTGTATGATATTCAACAAATGGGACGTATTTTGTGTTTGACAGGGCGCATCCGGAACACGCCTGAAGCAGATGAGACAATCATCGACCCCAATATTCTCTCTCTCATTATTTTTGAATGATAGCGTAATTAATTTGACATATTACATGTTTCATTAGCTTTTATTTGAGCTCTTGTCGTTATAGGATCAGTATAAATACCTAACCTGAACAGTTGCTGTTATTTTTTTTAGATTTACACTTTTTTCTTAGATTATCAATTTTCTATCTAAAAAGTTGATAATGAGATTGTAGGTTACTGAAAACTAAATGGTTAGCATTTGGCTAGCTATGGTCGTAGCTACAAACAACAACTTGTTCTGTGCAAAAAAAACGAATCTCAACAGATTTTGCTTCCAAAGAATTGTACAAAAATTTGACTCTCTCATTTAATTTTCACACTGATTTATGCACTCTCAGGAAAAAAAGGTACAAAACCTGTCACTGGGGCAGTACCTTTTCAAAAGGTACACTTTTGTACCTTTTAGATAATATGCACACTTTAGGGTAGTAATACAGTATGTACCTTTAAGGTACCAATATGGACCTTTTAGGTACAAAGGTGTACCTTTTGAAAAGCATTGGTATCTTTATTTCTGAGAGTGATCGTACACAGATATAATAAGCCTTGATGCTTAAAATATCTTAATGCAACATTGCAGCATTACATAACCACAGGGGGTCAGGATGTTTTTAACGCATCGCTTGATTGACAGACTAATCCATGCAGCTGCTTTTTTTCTGTTTTATAAAACTTATAATAATCATTTCCTCTCCCACTGCGCGTAAGACACAATGTGGTTTTATTATCCTTGATGAAGGAGGTCACACTTTATTGAACCAACAATCTGAACATATTAATTCACTATTTTCAGAAAGGCAGGGAAATGGTTCTCTAGTTCACCTCCTTGCTGGCTGTGCAAGTCTTCCCATCTGATGCTGGTCTGCATTTGTGTCCATTCTCATCTGTTCATTCCATTCGCTCTGTCCACACTCCATTGCTCAGACTCAACTACCTGCTCACTGAACAACACAGTGGATCGAGTTCTTGGCATCTTTGCTAGTCACCATCACGTAGCTCTGATTTACATGTGAAGATTTATTTCAGAAGAATGTTTACCATTTAAAATCACTAGAAGCTCATTTATGAACACTTTACTAATCAACTCCATCATTAACTTTCTCTAATCATGTTAGTTATTGTAAACAAAAGGCCACGTTTCTCATGTCACGTTATGCTGTAGCAGCCAAACAAAGCATTTTGTCATCTGCAATGTATTACTAGGACTTCACCTTAGATAGGCATCATATATCAGCATCCAGACTTTGCAAACATCTTTTAGATATATGATCAGATTTGTCCACCTGAACCCCACTGAAACAAAACCCCATAAAAGAGTCATTCAAACCTTCCGTTGCAAGCAGCAGTGACCTCCTCTCCTGCAATTTAACCACAAGTCTTCACTCGATAGTTCACACTACCTATAAAACCATGTATCAGAGCTGGATTCATGCACCAATGCAAAGGAACAAGGACAAATATGTGACAGGAGAGTTGTGCAGAGGCCTTGACAGCCAAATTATATTCAAACAACAAGTCAAATAATTGGAAACAAGCTTCTGGGCCTCCACACCTTCTGATTCTAATATTTTTTTTAGTCCACTAACAGAATGTTGTCTTGTGTTTTTCCAGACAGTTTCTTGATTCGGACATTCCTAGGTATATTACCTTCAAATCCCTTTCCTCTCATAAGATACACACACACACACACACACACACACACACACACAGTGGAAGGAAGTGCGAGAGCTGGTTGTAGGTGAGTTTGGGCTCAAAATTAAAAGCTTATGCGCAAACCAGAGCGAAATTGTATGATATTCAACAAATGGGACGTATTTTGTGTTTGACAGGGCGCATCCGGAACACGCCTGAAGCAGATGAGACAATCATCGACCCCAATATTCTCTCTCTCAACATACTGTCTGCAGGATACATCCGACCCGCACAAGATGACAGGTACGTTCCCAACCCTAATAAGTATGTCAAGACATCAGAAGACCAGTTTGGCAGTTTACAAATTCTCATGTGACTTTAACACTAAACACAAGATCTTGAAAAAATATGCTTGTCATTTTATATTCAAGAACACTTCCATAAGGGAGTTTTATTCTTCTGTCATGAAGCCTTTATTCTCCACACTCGGTAGCAGATTTTCTTCACTTTGGCTGTTTCCCACTGCACTCTTTTTAAAACCAGGTCTCCATTTTAGTGATTGCTGTACTTAATACAACTCTCTCCTCAGCCTTGGCTCATGATCTGAGAGCTGGAGCCAAGCCTGTGACAAACAGTTCTCTGCACAACTTTAAAGCGATGAGTTTTTGCCAAATAGCAATGAGTCAGTGAACCAAACCTTCAAAACAGCTCTTAAAGGCCTGCCTCAAAGGAGTGATTCAGAATCAAGCAGCACAGTCACAGTGCCAGCCTTAGATAAAGACAAGAAGTATATTCACACTTTTATGTTCCGTTGCACAAACATACCATAACTTGCTGCATGGTTGTGGTGGCTGACAACTGGCACATCCTAGTATTGCCATATTGAGGCTTTTAAGATTCACAAGAGGGTGCACATTACATGGGGTTTGGGAGAGTCTGATTTTCCAGTTAAAAGGGAACCAAAAATAACCCCCCAAAAAGTCAAAACAAGAGGTTAGGGGATCTTAAAACTACACTACCATTCAAAAGTACCATTTAGAAGGTTCCATACAATTTTTGAAATGTTTTTTAAAGATGTCTCTTATGCTTAACATAGCTGAATTATTTGATCAAAACAAACATTGTGGAGTATTATTTTAATTAATTTATTAAAATAACTGTTTTCTATTTTAATATATGTCAAAGCTGAATTTTCAGTGGCCATTACTCCAGTCTTGTGTCTTGGTGTTAGTTCTTTTCTAGGACAGTTTAAAAGAACAGCATTTATTTGAAATCGAAATCTTTTGTGACATTATAAATGTCTTTACTGTTAATATTGATACATCCTTGTTAAAAATATATATATGCATTTTTTAATAGTAGTGTAAATAAACTGGAAAAAAAATTATTTTTGAATGATAGCGTAATTAATTTGACATATTACATGTTTCATTAGCTTTTATTTGAGCTCTTGTCGTTATAGGATCAGTATAAATACCTAACCTGAACAGTTGCTGTTATTTTTTTTAGATTTACACTTTTTTCTTAGATTATCAATTTTCTATCTAAAAAGTTGATAATGAGATTGTAGGTTACTGAAAACTAAATGGTTAGCATTTGGCTAGCTATGGTCGTAGCTACAAACAACAACTTGTTCTGTGCAAAAAAAACGAATCTCAACAGATTTTGCTTCCAAAGAATTGTACAAAAATTTGACTCTCTCATTTAATTTTCACACTGATTTATGCACTCTCAGGAAAAAAAGGTACAAAACCTGTCACTGGGGCAGTACCTTTTCAAAAGGTACACTTTTGTACCTTTTAGATAATATGCACACTTTAGGGTAGTAATACAGTATGTACCTTTAAGGTACCAATATGGACCTTTTAGGTACAAAGGTGTACCTTTTGAAAAGCATTGGTATCTTTATTTCTGAGAGTGATGGTACACAGATATAATAAGCCTTGATGCTTAAAATATCTTAATGCAACATTGCAGCATTACATAACCACAGGGGGTCAGGATGTTTTTAACGCATCGCTTGATTGACAGACTAATCCATGCAGCTGCTTTTTTTCTGTTTTATAAAACTTATAATAATCATTTCCTCTCCCACTGCGCGTAAGACACAATGTGGTTTTATTATCCTTGATGAAGGAGGTCACACTTTATTGAACCAACAATCTGAACATATTAATTCACTATTTTCAGAAAGGCAGGGAAATGGTTCTCTAGTTCACCTCCTTGCTGGCTGTGCAAGTCTTCCCATCTGATGCTGGTCTGCATTTGTGTCCATTCTCATCTGTTCATTCCATTCGCTCTGTCCACACTCCATTGCTCAGACTCAACTACCCGCTCATTGAACCACACAGTGGATCGAGTTCTTGGCATCTCTGCTAGTCACCATCACGTAGTTCTGATCTGCATGTGAAGACTTATTTCAGAAGAATGTTTACGGTTTAAAATCACTAGAAGCTAATTTATTAACACTTTACTAATCAGATCCATCATTAACATTCTCTCATCATGATAGTTACTGTAAACAAAGGGCCACGTTTCTGTCATGTCATGTTATGCTGGTAGCCAAACAAAGCATTTTGTCATCTGCAATGCATTACTAGGACTTTACCTTAGATGGGCATCATATATCAGCATCCAGACTTTGCAAACATCTTTTAGATATATGATCAGATTTGTCCACCTGAACCCCACTGAAACAAAACCCCATAAAAGAGTCATTCAAACCTTCCGTTGCAAGCAGCAGTGACCTCCTCTCCTGCAATTTAACCACAAGTCTTCACTCGATAGTTCACACTACCTATAAAACCATGTATCAGAGCTGGATTCATGCACCAATGCAAAGGAACAAGGACAAAAATGTGACAGGAGAGCTGTGCAGAGGCCTTGAGAGCCACATTATATTCAAATAACAAGTCAAATAATTGGAAACAAGCTGCTGGGCCTCCACACAAGTTTTTCTGATATTTCTCTAGTCCACTAACAGAATGTTGTTTTGTGTTTTTCCAGACAGTTTCTTGATTCGGACATGCCTAGGTATATTACCTTCAAATCCCTTTCCTCTCATAAGATACACACACACACACACACACACACACACACACACACATACACACAGAATGTGTATTTTTCATCCTTTTATTTATATGGCCATCTGTCCAATCAACCTCCATCGTTCTTTGCATCATTTTTTGGCTCTTAAATACTGCTCTTTCTGCGTTCTTGTTGGTTTGCCTATTTATTTTCTCCTTCCCTCCTACTGTTTCTGAAAATGTGAGAGAATTTCACTCTGGCTCCCATGGAAATGCTTTTGTGTGTGAAGCTTCTGTTCTGTATTGTATGTTTTTGACATTTTTGGCACCTCTGGGTGACCTGGATTGCATGGCTTGGCTTTTGTAGAGGCTGCATTTTGGCTAAATCATTTGCAGGAGGTGTGGTAGAGATCATAGTCACCTTCCCAGCTAAAAGGGAATGTTTTAGAACTTATTCTTAAAGTTATGAACAAATGTTCTTTCAGTAATGTTAATAGAATGTTTGTTTAAAGTTATCTGGTCTTCAATAATTTTCTCAAAACGTATCAAAAAGGTTCATGGAATTTTTCTCAAAACCTTTATTATTTTTTTTTAAATATTACTACTTGTTTCAGAATGTTCAGAGAACATTCAAAGGTTCCCATAATGTTTGCATAATGATAGAATGTGAATAAATGTCTCCTTAACATTTGCATAACCAAACTGGACATTTTGAAAACATGAACTTGTTGGTTTGCCTATTTATTTTCTCCTTCCCTCCTACTGTTTCTGAAAATGTGAGAGAATTTCACTCTGGCTCCCATGGAAATGCTTTTGTGTGTGAAGCTTCTGTTCTGTATTGTATGTTTTTGACATTTTTGGCACCTCTGGGTGACCTGGATTGCATGGCTTGGCTTTTGTAGAGGCTGCATTTTGGCTAAATCATTTGCAGGAGGTGTGGTAGAGATCATAGTCACCTTCCCAGCTAAAAGGGAATGTTTTAGAACTTATTCTTAAAGTTATGAACAAATGTTCTTTCAGTAATGTTAATAGAATGTTTGTTTAAAGTTATCTGGTCTTCAATAATTTTCTCAAAACGTATCAAAAAGGTTCATGGAATTTTTCTCAAAACCTTTATTATTTTTTTTTAAATATTACTACTTGTTTCAGAATGTTCAGAGAACATTCAAAGGTTCCCATAATGTTTGCATAATGATAGAATGTGAATAAATGTCTCCTTAACATTTGCATAACCAAACTGGACATTTTGAAAACATGAAACAATTTTGAAACATGAAAATGAATCAATTTTTTAAACAACTTTATAAATAAATGTGTATTCAGTGTCAATCACTTATTCATCAGTCACACATTCTTCCAGTTTAAACGATAAGGATAAAAAAAAAAGTCACTACCACATACAATCAGTCCCACATAAATTTATTGCTCTTGCTCAACAAATTAGATGACATCTCTTAATTAAAAATGTATGGTTTCAGTTAAACTCTTCTGCAACCAGATCAAGTTCCATCACAAATGTCAAAGCAACACCGTAAAACACAACTTTGTCTGTGTGGGGTGATAACTGTGGGCCAGACCACACACTGTGAGGTCTGTGTTGTTTATGGGCGGGAGGGCTTGCTCCGCTAACTTTGGTATTAATCATGAATCTCTGAACAAAATTAGTGTTACATTAGTCTACTGAGATTTACGATCTCGTACGAAAAAATGCGTTTAGTCATGGTTATTGACAGTTAGCCTCTGCAGACATTCTCTGCTCACGATTAGCTGTTCTTTTTATCACTAGGGGGCAGTGTTTCTTAAGAGATTTTAAACGCTGTCGCTGTGTTGCCTGAATGACTAAGCAAACATTTCTAAAGGCTGTTTGTTCTGCGGACTGTAATTATCAAATCAGGACAACTATAACTCCACGAATTAACTGCTTGTTTGTAAAAATAAGGGTAGTGTATTGGCACAGAGGGATGTGAGTGCATTGTTATTATCCAGATCAGTTTTACTTGTTGTGTTGCCCGGACTGTTTAATTTATCGGGACAATTATCACATTGAGAATTGTATTTATCATGCATTCAATTCAACACCCTTTTCTAACTGTTATTGCAAAACTACAGTTTTTCATATATGTTTGATCTATACACAAAAAATATCCTGTTAAGTTTATTATAAAAACTGACAGCTGTGGTTGCCAGAAATTCCCTGTAAAATTACTGTGGCAGTGTTTCCAGTATTACAGGATGGCATATTGGTGTCTGTATATTTTACAACTTTTACAGCTGTATATTTTATTAAGTGACTTAATGTTAGTAGAACAATCTATTTGAACTACCGAAATCTCCTTTGTACTTTAAAATGTACTAATAGCCACCATTATAATACAGGTGGTACAATAAAAAATACCACATGTTGAATCAGAGTTGATCATAAATGGGTTGTTCATAAAACATAGCCAATACTCATATATTCAGTATATTCATATATTTAATACTCATGCAGGGTCATACAAACAATGACAAAACACCATCAGGGTAACACACGGTACTAAAATAATGCAATAAACTTTAACTAAATAACAGAAAATGTAACGTGAAATACTCTACATTCTATTATGTACAACAAAACTAAGAAGAAACAAATATTTAAAAAATTTAAATTAAATATAATGATGCATAACTTTTCACACAGACTATTTAATGTTTACCATTTAAACTATATGGTAATTCATAGTTTTTACTTCCAAAAACTGTGGCAGTATTGTACAGTAAAATCACATGTAATTCAATGTTAAACTATTTATTTATTTAACAAATGTGGTAAGAAAAGTTACAGTTAAACCAAGTTACAGTTAGCATTTTTACAACAGTATAGATGACTTTTTCATAATTTGACAATTTGTGGACATAAAGAACCTAACAAATTGAAAGCAATAAAACATTTGGAAGGTAAGAAGACTCCTTAAAGCGTTCGATATTATTCTTAGTATACACTTGTCTCCTTGGTAACTGGTATTCACACCCAACAACCTCCAATGTAGTTCCTAAGAGTTTTTGCAGGGGAGTTGAGTACAGAACTGCAGTGTCTCTCTCATTCATGTTGTCACAGAAAACGTTTTAATTTCCAGCAGCCTGGGTGGCAGAGTTCAGCAGCTCGACAATCCATGCGAGCATTACCTCATTGGTAGCATGCTTGCTTTCTTACCCCTGTGCAATGAGTAATTCTTCAATATTATTTAGGTCCTCGATGCAAGCAGAGCCAATAAACTGAGAAAGAAATGTCTCGATGTATATTTTGCCAAGAACATGAGTTATAGTTTGAATTGGCTGATATAAGAAATTTAAGGGAAAGAGATATTGAAAGGGAAGTTAAAACAACAGGAAATCTCTTTTATCATGTGTAAATGGGAGGTGGAAATTATCCTCACAATCCCTCATGTTGCTTGGTATGTTAAGCTTGATTTATGTGGTTGTTTGGGAGTGAACAATAGCATCAGAAATGGTTTGGTTGAGTGTCTTCTAAATGTGATCTTTATGAGAAGGCCTGTGTTTGTGTCCTAACCTTTTAAAAGGTACACTTTGTACACTCAGCAGTCATGGGGCTGTAACTACCATATGTACCCTAAATATTCAGATGGAAGATCAATATGAAGTTTTCATTTGCAGACAAATCCAGAAGTTTCTAGGAATCTAACTCTTCCAAGGCCAAGTCTATGACAATTCCAATTTTGTAACAGTTTTGCATATATTAATTTCATAAACTCTGTTGCAGGGCAGTTAATTATATATATATATATATACAGTGGGGAAAAAAAGTATTTAGTCAGCCACCAATTGTGCAAGTTCTCCCACTTAAAAAGATGAGAGAGGCCTGTAATTTTCATCATAGGTATACCTCAACTATGAGAGACAAAAT